GAAGAAATCCAGTATGCACTGTGAGTGCCTGGGATGGAGCCATTAAAATAATAGGTTTGGCAATGGGGTGTGCAGGAGGGAAGCTGATGAATTGATGTCTCCCGTTTAAAGACTTGTTGCACACTGCGGGGTGCTCGTGCAGGGTCATATTTTTAGAAAAGAGGACAGGGTGTGTTTTATTTTTTTCTCCTATTCCTCCTTTCTTTAGAGAATAGGAGCCAATTGCTCTCTTTCCCTTAAAAGTATCCACACAGCTCAAAGTTAAGTTCCTGGGAATCTGCTAGTCAAAAAATCCAGTTTCTCAAAAGATTGAAAAAGGATGCTTTACAGGCAGGGAAACTGGAATAGGATCCAACAAACTCTATTTCCAAAGATGCATTACATACAAAGTCGATCTCTTCATCATGATCATCATCAGCAAAAGAAGTAAGATTTAAAAGGCGGAGACTGATTAGTTTCATGTACCATATTAGAACTCAAATCTCCCACGCTCAATCATCGCCTCCCCGAGATCCGCCCCCTCACCTTGTTCGTGAGGTAAGAAGCCAGGTAGCATGTACAAAAGGTGACCCCGACCAGGCAGTTCTTCAAGCACATCTGTGAACTCACGCCCCAGCCTGAGGGGACTTTGCAGGATCCCCAGCCGCCACCCTAAAAGGCACCGCCGCCTCTGCGGAGACAGCCACGTGGCTCCCAGCTCAGCCAATCGGCGCAGGGACCGCCCCGCCTCCCTCCTTGGCTTCTTTAAAGGGGCCGCGCCTGAGCAAGCCCAGCCCCGGCTGTAAGCGGGGCACGCCTCTCCGGTGTTCTTCCCGGAGGAATGGGGTCAATCTCTGTGGCGCCCGCCTGTAGAGACTGAGCGGACAGTGGTAACTGAAAAAGTGGCAGCGGAAACGAAGTCGTTTACGAAACTACTCGCTAAGCCTTCTTACGGTTAAAAAAAAAAAAGGTCATAGCCATCTCTACACTGTGGACCAAAATGTCATCTGTGCTTTACTCAGTTTCTACATGGAGTTTGTAATACTTTTTCAAATGCTCCCCAAAAGTTAACAATAAGTGATACTTTAAAAGAAGGAAGGCAGGGTGTCACGAAGTTAAAATGAGTATAACTTTGAGATATTCCACATGCACCACATTTCATGTAGTGAAATTTCCCTAAAAGAAGAAATACTTCAAAAGTAAGGTTTTTTTAAAAAAGATTTATTTATTTATTCATACAGAATTAGGGTACAGGCCAGAGATGCGGAGGGTGAGAGGATTCACCAGGGACAGAACAGGCAGATCGACAAAGTACACTGCTGAGGGGAGCAGCGGGTAGGTCAGGAGAGGTCTGCCATGCCATGTGGATCTCCTCCTCCCGGGCAGGATGTGGATCTCCTCCTCCCGGGCAGGCGGGGATCCGGATCAAACTCATGCGGAAGTGGCTTAAGCATCTTAGTATAGTGCTTTAACCCACTGCACCACCAGGGAGGGCCACAAAAGTAAGTTTTAAGCGCAGCCTCTAGTCCTAATCACAAAGATGGGAGATTGGCTTGCTTATGCTTCTAGCAAATAGTAGCAAACATGCAAGAAAATGTGTATTCGTAGACATTGCCAGGAACTATTAGAAGCAACTATTCCCATTCTTTTCTGTAGAAACACACAAAATAATTTTTTTAAGATTTATATTTATTTATTTATACATACAAGAACTGGGGTGTTTGTGAGGGGAAGGAGCCAGGGAAGAGGATTCACCAAAGACAGAGTGGGGAGCAGACTGGATGCATCTAATGAAATACACTGTTGAGGGGAGGAGCAAGTGAGACAGAAGAGGTCTGCAGAGCAGTGTGGGCCACCTCCCTGGCCAGAGATCTAATTCATGCTGCAGTGGTTGCAGATAGCTTTATGGTGCTATGCTCTCTTCTACCACAGGGAGGCCTAGAAACACAAAATTAAAAAAAAAAAAAAAAACAAAAAAACAAAAAACTACATACACCAGGAAATCTTCATTCTTGTTTATTGTTCTTTCCCTATCTATTAGAAATGTAAATCTGCTTATCAACTTATATTAACCAAGCAAAAAAGGGATGTGTTCTCTCTACATAAAGATAATTATTGACATTGAGTTAAAAAGTCCTTATAAAGAAAATTTTGTCACTAGAATTTGATTAAAATCAATAGTTGCTCTGAGCTCTTTTAGTGAATGAACAATTATTATTTATATAGCTGAACTGATTATTATTAATGACTAAAGGACTTTATTTTCAATTTCCTTTAGAAACCAAAGAATCTAATGATTCCATGTGATTAGACAGTGCAAATTCTAGAACAACTTTCTTTCTGCTGGGCACCAGAGAGTTTATCAACAGAGACTATAGAGAGGAAACCTGGAGTTAAATCCTTTAAACATTGTCCTTGTCATGGAGCTTAAAAGGGCTTGCCTCTAATGACTGTAAATCTGACTATGAGTTAACACTTTTAATTGCTGTGTGTTATGTGTTTAAATGTTAAGGTATATACCTAATGCCACCAAATATATGTCCCTTAAAAAGGAATACAGAAGGAAATATACAATATTTACAAATTTTAAGTTCATATACACATAGATTAATAGGAAAGGTGTGGTTTACAACAACAGCATATATTCCTGCTATTTAATAGTAAGTTCTTGAATGGGATAATGACCATTTTGCTGTTAAGTGGAACTGAGGATTATGGCAAGTCTCTCCCTGTTCCTTGTCCCCTACCCTTTCATGGCCACTCGTCCTTTTTTTGCCCTAGTGCTGAGCATTACTCCTGTGCTAAACAAACAACAACAACAACAAAAACCCTAAAATATCTCACACTTCACTGAGCACACGCTGTTTCAGCTGTTCAGTTCTAGGTGGAATCTACTGCAGGAACTATTGCTGTTCAAAAAAACGTACAATCATCTAGCGCCAACTTGGAACCTTATAGCCAACTAATTGAAAGAAGTATGTGAGTAGAGGCCCACCGGTAAGGAAAGTTTGCCCCAACCATGTCTCTCCCTTGTTTACTTTAAAAGCAGCTCCTCTCTATCCTCCTGTTTTCCTTCTCCCTCATTTCCCCCTTGCTTGTGATTTACTCTCCAGATACTTTTGAGGGACCTTGAGAACTAATTAATTGCATTACCTCTCCAAAAGAATTGTATCCCTTTGGAGATAACAATAGTATCAGGACAAGCCTCTACCTGCCATGGAGGCTGTTCCCTCTGGAAAAACACTGCTGGAAAAGATAAACACCCTAACTCATGATGCCCATGCTGCTGGCTTGTCCCAAGAAGGACTGAGAAGCCCCTCACTCTCTTTGTGTCCTACAACTCCCTACATTCCTTTCCTCAGAATATTATCACAGCTTGTCCACCATGCCATCCGTGGGGCAGGCTTGATTAAAAAGCTAACCCAATGGCTGACTCGGACCGCGTGGCCCCCTTACATAAGAAACCCCTTTGTACAAAGATATTACCGAGGTCCAAAGTTTGACTTTCTGGGCACCTGCAAAGAGCTGGTTTAGTCGTTCAAAATTGCACAAACTTTACTTAGCCCAGAACTCCATCTAATGATGAATTTACTTTGCTTGTCCCCACAGCCTGACCTCTCCCTTCCTGTTTCACTTAAAACCTGAGTGTCCTCTGAGACTATTATTTCTCTCTGGTGTCCTGGGTAAAACAGAATCAGAACTCTTCACTTGTCAGCGCAGCTCCCAAATAGAACTTTACTTCTGCCTCCTTAAGAAAATTGGCTGTCATGTGGCATCTCTAACCACCCTTCTCTCAGTCCTTAGGCTTCCTTACCAGCGTCAATTACTAACCTCTGAAGTACAATCTGCACATTCTCTTAAGAATCTGGCACCTGCTCACAGTCTTCCACGCTACACCAAGCGCTGCCATCGTGCTGGGTAGCTTCAAGGTCTATGTGGCTAACTTAGTTAACATCCTGGCATTTTATTCTGATCCCTCAGCTTTCAAACCGATCCTCACCATTGCTTCATTGCAGCTTACTTGATCTGCGAAGAAGCTGCACCTGCTCTTTCTCTAAAACGTCTTTATTGTTGCTCATTCCATTTCTTACTTCATCATCACAATTGTTAAGCCAATAATTGATCATTACTAACTAGCCTAGCTTCAGATGGTCCATGAACTCAATCCAGTTTAAATAGATGCAGCGGCCCTGCCGGACTGGCAGGGAGAAGGAACCAGAACGTGGTGCCGCGAGAACATAATCTAGGCAGAGAAAAGCACTCCGCCCCCTGCACTGCCCAACACGCCAGACAGTGACCACTAGCCACCTCCGCGGGCAGCGGCGGAAGTACGGCCCCCTGGGGCGGGGAAACGTGACGAAATCGCGAAATCTGGGAAGAGCAGCCAATCAGAAGTGAAAGTCACCCCCGGGCCCCCTGAGAGGGCGGAAGAGGCGAGTTTTAGTTCCGGACGCGGCCGCCGCCGCCGCCGCCGCTGCCGCCATCTGTCATCTCAGCCTCAACACCAGCAAGCCCGTCGCCCCTGCTCCGCTGCCTGTCTTCTCTGCTTCGCGGTTGTGCCACCTCTCTGCTCTCTTCTCGTCGCGGACTGCTATCCTCACATGGATCTAGTCGGAGTAGCATCTCCTGAGCCCCGGCAAGCGGCGGCCTGGGATGCCAACAAGGTGAGTGGCTGTCGGAGCTGACGTATCTACCTGGACTAGACCTCTCGGGGCTGGGGGCCCGGAGTGGGGAGACGGGCGCCGAAGCGGCTCCGCGGGTGACTTGGGAAGTTCTGGGAGGGAGCCCGGCGAACTCGGAAAGGGGGAACTGGCGGTCGGGTGGGAGTGGTGGAGGCGGGGAGGGTGACCCGGGCTGCCAGAGGCCCCCCTGGGAGGCTTGAGGCCCCTTGTTTTCCAAACGCACGTAGCGAACATCTGGGCAGGGCTCACTTAGAAATGCTGGCAAGCACGGTCTTGTTTTCCATCCAAGTGAGTCAGCTTAATAATAAGCAGCGTGATAGGGCTGTGGTTTAGGAAGCCGTTTCCTAATTTGACAAGTGCGGCTATCCCTGACTGGGCAATTTCTTGATTTCGAAATATTAAGTGTAAGACCCAAGCACACGCTCCCTCACCCCCAGATCAGTGTTCAATTGTGCTGTACATACTGTAAAACCATTACGAGTTCTCATCATCTGCTAGCGCTTTAATATTTAAACTTGTTTCTCTAATGGCCCACTCTTACATTCACATCACATTGGTTTCTGGTTTTCAGGCTGCTCCATTTCATAATTTCATTAGAAGAATGAAAAGACTGCCACTGTACTGAGGGTTTGCTTGAAAGCAAGAGTGCTTCATTTGAGAATTTGTGTTCCTCAAATTAAGGTCGTGAAGAAATCCAGCTTTGAAGATACATACATGTTCTTGCTAACACTGTTAGTGAAAAATTTTGTTCCATTTAAAGGGTCGTTTAGTCTTATTGGATCTTCCGGCTAGGTGTGAACAGGAAAAAAAAAAGTTAACTAGCTGTATATAAAGGAAAGTTAATTTTATAAAAGTTCTCATGCAACTGAAAGAAGATACACCATTGGAACATGTACATTTATTGTGTGTCTGTCTGTTAAAGTCTTGTTTACAAGGCCAAGACATCAGGAGGCATAAAAGAACAAAATCACTAGATAACTAATAAATACGTACTCTGCATGTTAAAGTTTTCCAGTCAATTATCCAAAAACGCAGGCAGAAATCTCAAATACATCCTAACCTCAGCAAATCTTTATGTAAGATTCACTTACAAAACTAATTCAGTAGTAAAATATTTGATGGTACTTCCTCAGAACTATGAATTTAGTTTTCATCGTTCAACAACAACAAATCACCCCAGGTTTATTGATGATGAATTGGGAAGACAGTGTTTTAGCAGGCAAAAACAAAAAACAAAAAAACTGCAAATATCACTTTCTTATTTTTGCTAATCTCTTGGTAGACTGAAATGACTATAGAAGCCTACATGAAGAAAGTAAAGATTTGAGGAAAGTCTTGAAAATGGGAAGAATGTTAAATGCTGTCATTCTCAAATTTTCCATCAAGACCTCTTTAAATACTTCAAAATTATTAACGACCCCAAACAATTTCTACTTCTGTTGGTCTTATCTCTTGATATCTGTCATGTCAGAAATTTAAAAGCTGTTAAGTTATTTTAAAGTTATGTATAAATGACTTTTTTTTTTTTTTAAAGATTTACTTATTGATGCATACAGAGCTGGGGTACAGGCCAGAGGTGGTGGGGGTAGTGAGAGGATTCACAGAGCAGAGTGGGGAGCAGAACAGGCTGGCTGACAAAGTACACTGCTGAGAGGATCATCGGGCTGTCAGGGGATGTCTGCCATGCCATGTGGATCACCCCAGGGCAGGGATCAAACTCATGCTAAAGTGGCTTTAGCTTTTCAGTGCTGTGCTCTAACCCACTGGGCCACCAGGGGGGCCCTTAAATGACATATTTTAAAAAACACTTTTCTCAAAATTAGTGAAGAATAGAACTACTTTGCATTTTTAAATTTGCTTAACAACAGTCTTAATAGAAGACAGCTGGATTTGCCTATCTTTCAACCTTTTGCAATATGTTATTTGAAATATTTGAAGGAAATTTATCCTCACAGATCTGTAGATTATAGTAGGTATAATTGAAAATGAGTAATAAAATCACACAAATAAAAATACAGCATAACTGAGAACTGATTTAATTTCTAAATGTGCACCTTTATATCCTTAACCTATTTTTGAAAATTGTGAAAAACACAAGCCCACATTCTAGTAGCCATTAGCGTGTGTCCTCATGTCTTTATTGTAAACTTAGGAGAACTCCACTCTACCCAATGGAGAGAATGAGAAAAGACAATGGCTTAGTACTATTATGAAAATAATTTGACATTACAGATTTTTTTAAAGTGACTTGTTCCCATCCCCCAGATTGTCATAAAATGCTATTAGGACAAGAATTCTAGGGGCTATCCAAGAAGGGAAGATTGGCAAACTAGGCAAAGGTGAGGAAGTAATCACTCGTTTGAAAAGAGAGTTCTAAAAAATGGTTTAGTGGTATTTCTGCTAGCTGTCAACGTTATCCAAAACAAGGAAAGGCTGAGAAACTCGGCCAGGAGAAGCCTAAGGAGACATGAGATGACTAAAATGGGATCCTGGAATAGAGAAAGGACATGAAGGAAAAATGTGGAGTCTGAATAAAATAGGGTCTTTTGTTAATGGTAATGTTTAAATATTGTTCAGTTAAATGTGACAAATGTACTATATACTAATACAGGGAAATTGGGTCTGGAGTACATATGCAACTCTACTAACTTGGCAGTTTCTTTGCAAATCTAAAATTACTTTAAAATTATTTTTTTTAAATAGGCTAATGTGATATATAGACCCAGATCATGGTTTCCACACACCCTTGTTTTGACATGGCAGACTTAATATTCTGCCCCAAAAAGGTGTTTTGTGTGTGTATATATATATATATGTATATATATATATTTTTAAGCTTTATTTTCTGTATACAAGAACTGGGGTACAGACCAAAAGTATGGGGAGTAAGAGGATTTTCCAGAGACAGAGTGGGGAGCAGTACAGGCAGATGTACTGAAACACTGCTGAGGGGAGCAGGAGTGAGACAGGAGAGGTCTGCCAAGCCTTGTGGGCCACCTCCCTGGCCAGAGATCCAACTCATGCAGCAGTGGCTATAGGTAGCTTCATAGTGCTGTCTTAATCCCTTGGCCACCAGGGCGGAGCCCTGTTGTGTTTTTGTTTTTTTAATTTCCCCCTACCTAGCTTGGGTAGAAAAGAGGCACTCCCCCCACAGTTTATGTTTCTTTTGACTTGCTTCAAGTGAAGGAGTGAATTTTTGTAACTAAGTGCCTCTTTTCTATTTGTTGTTTCTTGTTTTGTTTTAGTTGATTTTTTTCCCTCCTAGTTGTCTGTAGTAAAACTTTTTGTTGTTGTTGAAGCAAAGTAGGATGGGCACTTGTGGGTGCGTCTGTAGAAAGTGAGAGGAAGGGCAAGGATTCCCTTCAATCTGTAACCAGCCCAGCATGGGAAAATCTGAACCCCAAGAAGCAGAATTCAGTGGTGATAGTTTCCCAGAGAAGAAAACCAGCTGGGCCTTAGGGCTCTTCTCTAAGTGGGAAAGAATCAAGGAAATGCTTGTGGACTTGGTAGATGACATTTAAAGCAGAATAACTAGATGGAAAGATTGTGTGGGGTTTCCTATCAGATCTTGATGTAATGGGGAGTTTATGATGTTCAAGGGAATAGTAGGAAAATGACATAAGTAGCTTGGATAAAGATTATGGAGCGCTCCCTCCATTCTTTACATTTATAATTGTTATTTAATATTTAGCAGAGTTTCTCTATTCAGAGTATTTGGTTTATTGAGGAATTGCAAGATAATGGCACATATGTACACCACATGATATATATTTATTAAAGAGTCCCCAGGAAATTCACTTAAGCTCCCTTTGGGGTGGTGATTCCCCTGTGCCGGGAGGACAGCTGACTGCCCCTGCCCTGCAGCTGTCAGTCACACAGCCCAAAAAGCTTTATGGCAGGCTTTTGACTGTTGGCTTACAGAGCTTAGATTTGATTTTAAGGTATTCATAAAGGTAACCTTTTGGAAGTCAGTTGCCTTGCTGTGAGATGCCCAGCTAAACTAGTCAGCAGAAGTACCAGAACTGTAGCTCTAAAGCTTAAGTTTTCAAGAAGCAGTATCAGTAGGTGTAGGCAATTGGGATATCTTGGCATGGTCTGCTGTCTCTGCCACAGTAGTTCCCTTGCTGGTTCTGTCTCCTGTGGGAGCAAGTCACTCTCTTTCAAAATAACCTGATTATATCATCAATTTTGCCTTTTCCAAGAAATTGTCAGTTAATACTTAAACACCTTGCAGAATTGTTTGACTATTGGCAAAAGACTAGAAGCTTCAGAAGTGGGTGGCAAAGGAGCCGACTTCAAGGTGGAAAAGGGCATTTGAGTTGTAGGAATAAAGACAGACTCTAGACCTATACAACCTAGATACATCCTAAAAGTTCCAGAAGTATCTGCAGTGTTTTCTTTTGGCACATGTTATTTAGTAAATGTTTGAATGGCTGTTTATGTTTGAAGATCTATGCTGGGCTCTAAGAATGTTAGGATCTCACCCTTGAAGTGGCTTATCCTGTTCTGTAGTTGATGCATTAACTCTAATACAGTAGTCATGCTCTACGCTTACACAGGCTATAGGAACACAAAAGAAAGGACCTAAATTTGAAATGGAGACAATCTTATGAAGGAGGTGACATTTATTCAGGGGAAATAGAGAAGGGGAAAAACTATTCAGAAGACCATGTGTCTGTAAATATGCCATGTTTAGCATATAATTAGTGTTGCCAGAGCATAAAATAGGTGAGAGTTTTGAAAGTGGGAAAATAGGTCAAGTTGTGAAGGCCATTTCTTCCTGAGACATTTGCATTTTACACCAAAGGCAATATAAGTGCTTTGCTATACTGAATAAGGATAAGGTGATGAGGAATGCAGTATAGCAAAATGTTGAGTGCAAACTTAACTCCTATGGTCTTAGCTCAAATCTTGACACTTCCACCTACGTGTTACTTGGAATTAAAAAATCTGTCTCAGTTTCTAAATCTATAATATAGGGATGATATTATTTAGTCGTTGTGTGATTTAAATAATCCATATTAGTTATGTATATTTAGCCAAGAGACTTAAACATAGTATTTTAATATCTATTGTGATACTTTTAGTCTCTGCAAAGGTGATTAAAAGTACTGAATTAGAGGATACGGTTATTGCCTTTTGGAACTAGACTTTGAAACTGATCAGGCCAAGCATTTCTAGGTTAAGTGGCAGCATTCCATCTTCTAGTTAGAGGATCCAGATAGAAGTCATGTGCCAAATTATTAGCTATTTTGTCCAGATTACAAAGAATTTAAGGATTCCAAACCTCAAAATCCTCACCGGGAGAGTGCTCAACTGCTGGTAAGATGTGAGTGAATGAAGTTACATCAGACCTTGAGCAAGTCTCCTTGTCGTCTCCAGGCCTCGCAATATAAAACCAAACAATTCAGCAGTATGTTAGTATAGGAGTCTGGGTGCGTCTCATCAGTCTCAGGGTAAGACTTTGTGAACTGGATTCTGATTCAAAAGGCATAAATATAATTAGCATTTACCACCCGTAAGTGCTGCACACTACCAGCCTAAGCCAAGGATATTCTTGAACCTGCTCTGGACCCTGAACAGGGTCAGTTGCCCAGCTGCCTCCCGGAATCAACCAAGGGGTCAGAAGGCCAACTAGAGGGCCTGTCCTGGTTTAAGCTTGATTCAACAATTTTGTTGCTAAGCCAGATACCATCACAAGCTAAATTCTAAATTAGAAACTCAGTAGTTAAGGAATGAATTTAGTTTTATCCAAACACTGTGGGAAATAATAAAAGCTTTAAGTAAGGAAATGAAAACAATTAAATCTACAAATTCACATTTTAGGAAAACCGTTGCGCAGTCTTGTGGAAAATGGAAACAAACAAGACTGGGAAGCAAAAAACATTAGAGCTCTCAATGTAGCCTGTAGATGGAAGGCTGATACCTTGGAGTAGAATCTTTGACAGGGGACTAGAGAATTTGTTCTCTGGGCAAGTTCAAAAAATATTTACATGCTTAATTCAGTATGCATGGTCTTAATGACTAGATTATAAGTGTAATCATTTGCTACTAAGTTTCATTTGCCCCATCAAAAATAAGTAATTGTGGAAAAAAGCATTTCAGAGGGCTCAGATAATGTCAGCTCACAGAATATTACTTTGCTGTAATTGTAGTGTTTCAACAATCTAAAATAGTTATTATTGTTTATTTTTGTTTTGGCATAATCCAAGATGAGAGAGGCAGACACACTTTTTACATTTCAAAGACTTGCTGCTGAAATTAAAATGATCTATAACTTCTAAATGGCCTTTGAATTGTGCTAGTTGATGTAGCTTGTTGCTATAAGAGAATCTGTCTGGAAGCCAGATTATAGGCAGAAGGTTGCTTAGTGAGGCTTGGCTCAGAATAAGGGGTTCTGTATTCACCTCATTGACTAATGGGCCTGCTGCTTCCTTTCAACTAAAGACACACCTAATTAGAAAGTAGTTTTGACTACTTTAGTCTACATTTTGACTAGATTTGAGCTGGGACATGTTTGACTTCTAAGAAAATTTCTGCAAGTAGGTGATCATTTTGGGTTGGCTTAGGTATTTTAATGCTTTTAATTTTACTTCTTTTTTTTAACCTTTTTTCTCCCCCAGAAATATATAGTGGACAATAAAGTAGTACTTTTATCCCTTTTTTTTTTAAAGTATTTATGCATACAGAACGGGGTACAGGCAGAGGTGCAGGGGTGGTAAGAGGATTCACTAGAGACAGTGGGGAGCAGAACAGGCAGATCAATGAAGCACACTATTGAAGGGAGCAGCAGGCTGGTCAGGAGAGGTCTGCAGGTCAGGAGAGGTCTGCACGCCTTGTGGTCACCTCTGGGGCAGGCGGGGAATCAAACTCATGCTGAAGTGGCTTTAACTTCTTAGTGCTGTGCTTTTTAACCTGCTGCACCACCAGGGAGGGCCCTTTTATCCCATCATCATCCCTTAATACTCCTTTGACCCTTTCCTTTTTTCATTAATCCCTCTTTTTTTTTTTCTTGAAGATTTATTTACTGGCCCTCCCTGGTGGCGCAGCGGGTTAAAGCACTGCACTAAGAAGATTAAGCCACTTCCTCATGAGTTGATCCCCGCCTGCCCCAGAGGTGACCACATGGCGTGGCAGACCTCTTCTGACCCGCCCCGCTGCTCCCCAGTGCTCCCCAGTGTACTTCTTCGATCTGCCTGTTATGCTCCCCACTCTGTCTCTGGTGAATCCTCTCACCCTCTGCATCTCTGGCCTATACCCCAGTTCTGTATGAATAAAAAAAATTATTTACTTATGCATACAAGAACTGGGGTACAGGGCATAGGTGCAGGAGGTGAAAGGATTCACCAGAGACGGAGTGGGGAGCAGAATAGGCAGATGTACTAAGTACACTGCTGGGGGGAGCAGCTGGTGGGTCCGGAGAGGTCTGCCAGGCATGTGGGTCACCTCCCAGCCAAGGATTGAACTCATGTTGCAGCAGCTTTAGACAGCTTCATAGTGCTATTTTTCAACCTGTTGTGCCACCAGGAATGGCCCTGATCTGTGTCTATTTTTATGGCAGTTTTTAATGCAATAATGACATAATTTCATCATTATGAATTAAGTTATATTCCCCCTCTTTTTTTATAGTGTCCATGGGCTACCCCTCAAAATACAATATCCTGTTCTTTGGCTGATGTAATGAGTGAACAGTTGGCTAAAGAATTACAGTTAGAAGAAGAAGCTGCTGCTTTCCCTGAAGTTGGGTAAGTAAAATTCATGAAGAATCTGTTTTATTCATTTATTATTTTTTTAAAGATGTATTTATTTATGTAGACAGAACTGGGGTACAACCAGAAGTGCGGGGCAGCAAGAGGATTCACCAGAAACAGAGTGGGGAGCAGAACAGGCATCTCAACAAAGTACACTGCTGAGGGGAACAGTGGGCGGGTTAGAAGAGGTCTGCCGCACCATGTGGGTCACCTCTGGGGTGGGGATCGAACTCACACTGACACCGTCACAGCTTGGCTTAGCTTTGCAGTGCAGAGCTCCAACCCGCTGTGCCACCAGGATGGCCCAGAATCTGTTTTATTTAGTAGCTTATTATTATTATCAAAGTTTAAGGATTTCACTTGTGATTTTTGTGACAAGTGATTAAGAAATCCAGTTAGAAAAGCAACACAGTAGAAAGAACTCCATGCTGGGAGACCTCTGATAATGAGTTTTAATCCTGATTGTATGACTAGTTTTCACTGGTTTCAAATTAACAAATAATAAAATAGGGCCCAGTTTTGATCAAATTTTCCTTTTTTAGTATTTGTTCTCTCTCCTTTGATCAGAATACAGAACAGACGAATTCTGTCCCAGTTTAGACTTTACGGTAGGCCCTTTAGCTTTCTCTTTTAGTTTTCTTAATAATTGGTGTTCTCACAGCAGCGTACCATTGGTCAGAGGGCAGCTGAGCAAGAAAGGGTGATTGGCTTGGTAAAGTTCTCTCATTGAGTACACTGAAAAGGCACATCTGCTCTTAATCCATAGCATCTGTTCATACAAGCACATTGTATTAGTTTATGTTGCCTTATTTTGAATAGTGTTGCTGAAGGACCATTCGTTACTGGAGAAAACATTGACACTTCCAGTGACCTAATGCTGGCTCAGATGCTACAGATGGAATTTGACAGAGAATATGATGCACAGCTTAGGCGTGAAGAAAAAAAATTCAATGGAGATAGCAAAGGTACTATGACCTTATTGTGACAACTCCATTGGGTGGTAGAAAATGATTATCATGTGTCTAAAGAAATCTTTGACTATTTTTGCCTTTTAAGTTTCCATTTCCTTTGAAAATTACCGAAAAGTACATCCTTATGAAGACAGTGATAGCTCTGAAGATGAGGTTGACTGGCAAGATACCCGTGATGATCCCTATATGCCAGGTATCATTGCTTTTATTTTCAGGGGATGTGGTGGGGAGAGGACTGGGTTATGAAAAGAGTCCATTTTCTAGTAATTTCTTGTATATTTACTGTTAGATACAGGTATCTTTGTTAGCAATGTTAAATATTACAATTTAGTCCTTCCTATTTTTACCCACTTGACTTGTCTTAATCACTTTTAGCAAAACCAGTTCCTACTCCAAAAAAGGGTTTTATTGGGAAAGGAAAAGACATCACTACCAAACATGATGAAGTAGTATGTGGGAGAAAGAATACAGCCAGAATGGAAAATGTGAGTTACAGAAAGTATTCTATTTGAATCACATTTGTTAGAATAAATTTAAAAATAGGTTTCTAAATACAATATCTTAAATTTCTAAAAATATTTCTAGTCTTTTCTAAGCAAGTTTTAGATGACAATATAGCAGTGCCATAGAAACTCAGTCACTAATGGAAATATAATGTACCTCAGAGATAATACTGTCACATTTGCTTTTCACTGATTTTAAAATTAAGAAATGATTCTTAGAAAAGTAGCATTTATTTTTGAGCTCCTTATTCCATAAAGTGGCACTCCTGCCAACAAAAAGGTATAGTGACTGAGGGATAGGTATGGGAAAGGGAAATAATTGCTATCATATACCCTTTATACGTTTTTGTCTTGTACCTGATCTACCCTTGCAAAAACAAAAGCAGAATGTAATTTTTTAAAAATAGAAAATTCTTCCTCCTTCATAAATACTGTGCCTAAGATAAAACATTGAGACTTCAGAGCATTAACACTTACTTAGAAAACATCAAATTCTAGAAATACTTTAGATCAATAGAATTTTCTATGATGATAGAAATGTTCTGTATCTTTATCGTATAATAGCCATATTTGACTGTTGAGCACTTGAAATTTGGGTGGTGCAACTGAGGAATCATTTTTCTGTTTTAATTAAATTTATATGTCCACATATGTATTGAATATGCAGCTGTAGAACACAGTTGTACTGGTGTGGCCATAACTTGCTATGCCAACCTCCTCAGAAATGATTAGGAAAGTGTATTCCTTTTGGTGTTGCCTTTAAAATATTAACAGATATTTAAACAAGGTACAAACATGCTCAAAACCCCTAAGTTTTTATATATGATTGGATGTTTTCTATGCATAAAAATGCTTTTTTTTTAAAGATTTATTTATTTATTCATACAGAACTGGGGTACAGGCCAGAGATGTGGAGGGTGAGAGGATTCACCAGAGACAGAGTGGGGAGCAGAACAGGCAGATCGACGAAGTACACTGCTAAGGGGAGCAGCGGGCAGGTCAGGAGAGGTCTGCCTCGCCATGTGGATCTCCTCCAGGGCAGGCGGGAATTGAACTCATGCGGAAGTGGCTTAAGCTTCTTAGTGCTGTGCTTTAACCCGCTGCACCACCAGGGAGGGCCCTAAAAATGCTTTTAAATAGCTTTACTTTCGGCTTTCTTTTGGGTTGATCAGTGAGTAATTTTTTCTGTTTTATCTATTTTTTTTTTTTAAATCTCTGCTTTCATAGCAAAATCATCTATTGGGTAGGAAAACTCTTTCAAGTCAAGATTGAACTTATTTTGGTTTGTTTTCACTACCCCATTTTAAAGTATCTAAGTTCTAATTCTTCTTCCTTTGGCAGTTTGCACCTGGATTTCAGGTAGGAGATGGAATTGGAATGGATTTAAAATTATCAAACCATGTTTTCAATGCTTTAAAACAACATGCCTACTCGGAAGAACGTCGAAGTGCCCGCCTCCATGAAAAAAAGGAACATTCTACTGCAGTAAGTATTCTTAACTATTTTTTCTTTAACAGATTCATATTAGAAAACTTCATGTTGGGAGAGCGGGGGAAAAAGCTTGATTTGTTTCTGTGAGATTGACCTTTCAAATCAAATATGTAAATAAAACCCAAGTAGCTTTCCTAGTTGATTTCTCAGATTTAATATAATCATTTGCTCTCAAAGCTAACATTTAGTAATTATAATTAATTCAGACTGTATAGTTTACATTGCATATGAGTGTGGCGAGGTTTTTAAAGTTTCCTACTACATTAATCACATTAATTAAGAGATAATGTAGTAGTCTCTAGTGCTTTATATTAGTGAGTCATGTCTAATGTCTGAAGAATAAACTAATTCTTAAGTGATAACACGAAGTGAGTTATTTAAATTTTAGAGATAAAATAAGGTTTTGACTAAGCTAGTATCTTGACTTTGTTTCTTTTAGCATTCACTTTCAAAAAGTTATAGTATAGGATGAATTGTATCTTCTCATGACTTTTGAAGAGCTTATAATAACATACATTTAGGTAAATTAAATATTTTTAAAAGTATGCATTTTAATTGTCAGAATAACATTTTTTCATGATTAAAAGTCATTTACACTAATAGCATGTTATCTTTTTCAGGAAAAAGCAGTTGATCCTAAGACGCGTTTACTTATGTATAAAATGATCAACTCTGGAATGCTGGAGACAATCACTGGCTGTATTAGTACAGGAAAGGAATCTGTTGTCTTTCATGCATATGGAGGGAGGTAAATGAGCAAAATCAACAAAATTTTAACTCCTCCCACTACACAAAAATTAAGTTTTTTTTTTTAATTTAAAATCATCACTTTTAAAAATTTAAATAAATCATTGCGTCTATATTTCAAAGAAAAAATGAAAGATCCTCCTGACCTTTTTCTAAAAAACCCAATAATAGCAATAATAAAAAATCTTGTTAGACTCCTTAAGGAACCACTGACAGTTTGAACATTACATTCAAGTATGCTGTTCTTTTAAACTAGTGGATAAACCCATATTTTTAAAAAGTTTAACAGCTTAGCCAAGAGATTTTGCTTAAAGTTAAGTGTTTTGGGGGCTACTTCAGAATATTGTACTATGGCTGTGTTGTGATTCCTTGGAGCATGCTCTTCTCACTTTTACATTCCAGCAAAGGTTAAAGGGACTGGTTTCAAAAGAGATCATACTTCCTATAGTTACATAAGTGGCCAGCTTGGGTGAGAAAAGTCAGAGAGAGTGATGTGTACCTCCATAGAAAATTACAAGTTTTAATTTTTTTTTTATAACAATTTATTTTTGCATCATTTTGTACATTTTTTTTTTTCCATCTCAATTGTAATCCCCACGGGTTTCCCATCACCATGTCACCCGTGTGCCATCACCGTAGTTCCGTGCACTTCTCTCCCTACCCCCTCGTTTTTGATCCCATTCCCTACTCCACCCCCACAGAATGTCTCTGGTATATGGCTGTTCATTATTCTTATTATTTTCTCACCTGGTCCATTATACTCCTTCTATGAGCGAAACCATCCGGTGTTTTTCTTTTTCTTTCTGGCTTATCTCACTAAGCATGATCTTTTCCAGCTCCATCCAAGTTGCTGCAAAAGACATGTATTTCTTTTTTTTGGTTGCTGAGTAATACTCCATTGTGTATATGTACCACATCTTTTTAATCCAGTTATCTACTTTTGGGCATTTGGGCTGCTTCCATGTTTTTCCAATTGTAAATAAAGCAGCAATAAACATGGGGGTGCAGTTATCTTTTTGACTCAGTGTTTTTGTGTCTTTTGGGTAGGTACCTAGGAGTGGGATTGCTGGGTCGTAGGGAAGCTCCATGTTTAGCAGTTTGAGGAACCTCCAAACAGTTTTCCATAGTGGTTGTACTAGTTTGCATTCCCACCAGCAATGCAGGAGAGTTCCTTTTTCTCCACATCCTCGCCAACATTTGTTGTTGCTAGTTGTTTGAAGATGTGCCATTCTCACTGGGGTGAGGTGGTATCTCATTGTGGTTTTAATTTGCATCTCCCTTATTACAAGTGATGTTGAACATTTTTTCATATCCTTGTTGGCCATCTGCATTTCATCTTTGGAGAAGTGTCTTTTTAGCTCTTCTGCCCATTTTTTGTTGGAGTTGTTTATTTTTGTTGAGTTTTGTCAGTTCTCCATATATTTTTGTGATCAGTCCTTTATTAACAAGTTTTAATTTTAATTAAATGAAGCATAGGGAGCAGAGTCATTATTAAAATGTTGGGAAAAGTCTAGACAATAGAGATACATAAAATATAAATATATGGCATTTCAATGCCATTTCATGTTTGTTGCAAGGGATTAGATGAGTTAAAAAATGACATGAGGAAGAGAAACATTAAAAAGTGGAGCCTGTTTTGAGATTATGTTTAAGCCAGGAATATGAAATATTATTTTCTATTGAAATCAAACAGCAAAGCTAAATAACTTAGCTGTTTTTTTTAACATTATTTAAAAATAAAGATGTTAAAAATACAGTGCAGAAATTATTCTAGTTTTTTTAGGTATAGAAAGTCTTTGTGTGTATGTAATGTTATTCAAATGATTATTTGTCAAGTCTTTGCCATTGGTTTTCTTGGCTTTATTTAACTAGTCTCCCTTTCTAGATGAGACATACATTTATGAGCATATTTCAAATTATATTGTCAAGCTCAACATCTTTTAAGCTAAATTTTCTGTATCTGTGTTATCAAGCTGTACAATTTAAAAACTGATCCCTCACCTCATAGTACATTTGTGAGGATAAATCAGATCATATTTGATAATATCTGCTATATAGTCATGTTAATAGTATTTGTTTTTTTCCTTCCTATAAGCTTTGTTTTCCTCTTTCCAAGTTTCAATGGAGGGTTCCCTGAAATCAGGGAAATGTAATACAGATTATTTTTAAATCAATGAGCCCTCCCTGGTGGTGCAAGGGATTGGGACACAGCACTATGAAGCTCTCTGCAGCCACTGCAGCACCAGTTTGATCCCTGGCCAGGGACTCACATGGTGTGACAGACTTCTCCTGGCCTGACCGCTGCTCCCCTCAGCAGTGTATTTCAGTCAACCTGCCTGTTCTGCTCCTAGCTCTGTCTCTGGTGAATCATCCTACCCCCTACACTTCTGGCCTGCACCCTAGCTCTTATTTTTCCATGTATGCATGGAAAAATAAATCTTTTTTTTAAAGATTTATTTTACTTATACATACAGAACTGGGGTACAGGCCAGAGTTGTAGGGGTGAGAGGATTTACCAGAGACAGAGTGGGGAGCAGAACAGGCAGATTGACTGAAATACACTGCTGAGGGGAGCAGCGGTCAGGTCAGGAGTGGTCTGCCACACCATGTGGGTCACCTGCCTGGCCGGGGATCAAACTGGCGCTGCAGTGGCTATGATAGCTTCATACTGCTGTGTTTTAACCCATTGAGCAATCAGGAAGGGCCCAAATAAATAAATCTTTTAAAAATAATCACTATAAAAAATGAGTGCTCATAATAAAAATTAAAATTTTACAAAAAGGATTAAAATGAAAAGCAGCTTCACTTAGCTAATTCTTGCCCCACAGACCTTTTCTCTAGTGGTCTTTTCTCTAGTGGTAGCCACTATTAAATTTTTAGTCTAGTGTTCCAAAAAATTTTTATGTGCATGTTTATTTTGTTTATATAAAGAAAATTATACTCTGGATTTTAAAAATACTAAGGTATTTTTTGAGTGCAAAAAACTAGGTTGTTATGTAGAAAATGAGTGATAAAAGGGAAAGAAAAGAAGCAATAAGCTCAATTAAAAATTAATGTGGTTTGCCCTCCCTGGTGGCACAGCGTGTTAAAGCACAGCACTAAGAAGCTAAAGCCACTTCTGCACGAGTTCTATCTCTGCCTGCCCTGGAGGTGATCCACATAGCGTGGCAGACCTCTCCTGACCCGCCCGCTGCTCCCCTCAGCAGTGTACTTCATTAGCCGGCCTGTTCTGCTCCCTACTCCTTCTCTGGTGAATCCTCTCACCGCCCCTGTACATCTGGCCTGTACCCCAGTTCTGTATGCATAAATAAATCTTTTAAAAAATTAATGTGGTAGTTTAAATGAGAGATGAATAATTCTGAGTAAAGATGTGGTAGTAAAAATAAAGAATAGGCCATTGCTATGTGTTTTTTAAGGTAAAAGTGAACAGGATGTGATATTGGATTAGATGTGGGATGTGAGAGGATAGATTTTTGGCTGGATAGAGTAGAGCTGAGTGGTATCACCTTGAGGTGAGAGCCCAGGGAAGGAAATATTAGGGAGCAGTTGTTTATACCAGAGACATTTTGCAGGGGTGGAGTGGGGAATGGGATCAAAAACGGGGAGGTGGGGAGGGAAATGCACGGGGTTATGGTGATGGCACACCATAACCACTTGGTGACTTGGTGATGGGAAACCCATGGGGATTACAATTGAGATGGAAAAAAAAATGTACAAAATGATGTAAAAACAAACTTTTGTAAAATAAAAAAAAATTAAAAAAAGTTTGTTTTGGACATAACAAGTTTGAGATACCTGCTAGACATTCAAGTGATACCAAGTAGGGGTGATAAATGATCCTGAACATTTGGAAAAAGTTAGAACTAATGATAGAAATATAGGAGTTAATCTTCATAGAGATACGCAAAGCCAGGAAGCTAAATGAAATTTCCCAGGAGAGTTAAGTAGTTATGAAGAGAAGGGAAGTTCATAGGATTAGTTGGAATATCTGCTAGGAATGAGAGTTTTTTGACAACGGTACTATTTTTTGCTTTTACTGAATTTTGCCCTGTATCGTCCCAGGTCGATTATAGCCTATTTCAAAGCGCCTATGTCTTCATTGACTCTCATGATTCTATAGTCATTCAGCAAAGATTATTTTAACTATTATTGAAAACTGTTTGATACTTTACTTGAAACTATTTGTTAAAAAAAAAACCTAAAATTTTGTCAAGTCCAAAGAGTGAAGGTTTAAAAAAAAAAAAAAAACCCAAGACTTAATATTCTCAGAAAAGGTATATAGCCACCTTCTTGTCATAGGATATCTTTATTTTGAAGTTTTTTTTTTTGTGACCTGGCTGCTCGCATTAACTTAACTTTCTTTCTTCTGCTTAGCATGGAGGATGAGAAGGAAGATAGCAAAGTAATACCTCCAGAATGTGCCATCAAGGTATTTAAAACAACCCTTAATGAGTTTAAGAATCGTGACAAATATATTAAAGATGATTTCAGGTTTAAAGATCGCTTCAGTAAACTAAATCCACGTAAGATCATCCGCATGTGGGCAGAAAAAGAAATGCACAATCTCACAAGGTAAAGGAAATCATTGTGTTAGAAGTCATCTTGGGTGTTTCCCTTTTTGTATAATTTTTATTTAAAAATTATAAAAGGTCTTATAATTGTAGTGTTTTACGAGGCTTTCTACAAGAAAACATTTTCATGCCACTAACCTGGAATTCATACTTTTAGGATGAAAAGCCATTTTCTTTTTTCTTTTGTCAGTAAAAGTTGAGGAAAATTAAATCACTTTGAAGACATTTTGCAATATTGCCACATAATATCTTTTTCCAATTTTGAATTAGATATAAGTAATTTCTCTCTTTTGTTTCAGAAAATGTTTATTATATCTAATTGTTAACTTGGTATGGACAAGGTCTTACCAGTCCAGTTGTCTTTTGCAATTTTTAGACTTGTTTCTCAGTTCTCTAAGCAGTTTATTTTTTATCCAAGAATTTGTTTTATCAACCAAGTAATCTTTCTCATTAAAAAAAAGTTATCTTTATCCATTGAAAAGTTAATTGTAGTTTTTTTCTAAAGATGTTTTAAAAAGTAGTTATCCATGTTTGTTAGTTGCAAAATTATTCTAGTTAGTAGGCTTGCTAAGTATTATGATTTCCTGAGAGATCTTGGAGCCCTATAAAACCTCTTTTCTGCACTAATGAGATCTCATCCCTGCCTTTTAAAAATTCTTCAACAATTCTCATAATCTTTAGTGTAAATTTCAAAATCCTTTTGTGATGTGATCCTGCCCTTCTCTATAACCTCAACCACATTTTTCTTCCACCTACTCAAGTTCCTTCAGTGTTGATTTATATACATGCTCCAAATGAATGGTGCTCTTTAAAGCCACCATGCATTTCTACAAGCTGCTTCCAGCCTTTCACCAGCATTTCCCCCACATAATCTTCAGCTAGCTAACTCCTGTTCACCTGTGTCTTCTATCAAGGCTTCCTCGATGCTGTTTTGCCACAGCTCCACCCCACCTCTACCTGTGCATGTACCACACTGCATGGTAATCATCTCCTCACCTGTCTGTCATTTCCACGAGTCCCTGGACTCTAAAAGAGCAGAGCCTGTGTCTTACCATCTCTGTATTCCCCCCCTTCCAGAGTAGAGCATAGTGCCACCTCATTGCAAGCCCTTGTTAGCTGTATTTGTTGAGTAAATTAAATGCTCTCTTCTGATCTTTACATTCTTAATCATCTCTTCCTGTATAGAATGCAGAGAGCTGGAATTCCTTGTCCTACAGTTGTTTTGCTCAAGAAACACATTTTAGTTATGTCTTTTATTGGCCATGATCAAGTTCCCGCCCCTAAATTAAAAGAAGTAAAGCTCAGCAGTGAAGAAATGACAGAAGCCTACTATCAAACTCTTCACGTAAGTGTCTTCTCAAAGTATTCACACACTAACTTTTAAACTTTAACAATATTTTCTGGGGTCTCCCTGGTGGTGCAGAGGGTTAATGTGCTGCACTATAAAGCTACCCTTAGCCACTGTGTCATGAGTTTGATACCTGGCCAGGGAGCTGACCCGCATGGTGCAGCAGGCCTCTCCTGTGTGACCTGCTGTTCCCCTCAGCAGTATATTTCATAATGTTCCTGTTTTGCTCCCACTCTGTCTCTGGTGAATCCTCTCATCCCTCACACCTCTGGTCTTTACCCCAGTTCTTGTGTACATAAACAACTAAATCTTAAAAAAAAAAAACAAAAACTAAAACATAACTATTTTAAGCCTATATAAAAGTAAACTAGTATTTGTGAAGAGTGTTAACATTGAGAAGTTGTCTTTATTTCAATATGTAGATATCTTGAATGGCTTTAGAAATCATAGACTTGGAGCAAGTGAAGGCTCAACTGTAAGCATTAGTGACGTAGAAGCCTGAAGCTTATATTCATAAAATTTAAATTAAATTTGACATTACACATTTAGTAGATAGAATGCCTGATTATTATTTTCTTGAATGTTACAGTTCTAACAGCTAAGAAAATACCTTTTTGCTGGGAAGTTAAAGGGAAACAAATTTGCTTCTTACATAGCCTCTGCATGGATTGCCCATGGCAGGTAGCAGCTGATACGAATATGAAAGTTATCTAAATTAATTTTTTAAATGACTGTTAGGGAGACAATCCAACCTGCTCTGCCTCCACTAGGAAAATACTTTCTGGCTTCTCTGGGCAGTGAGATGACTGCAGAAGAGATGAAGGTAGTAATATTTCCCTATTTGACTTTATTTAGGGCTGAGAGACAAAGTTTTAATGCTGCTCTCTACTCTAAAGCTAGAGTATCATGAATATATAAAGAACCAATAACATATAATGCTACTTGCTTTATAAAACTATAATTAATATATAATGCCACTTGATTTATAAAACAGTGTATCTGGCAGGGAATACTTTTTACCTTAGAATTGTATCTATCCTAGGGAGGTCTCAATGGGACATTTGCTCCTCTATGAAGGGTAACCTTTTTTAGGGCTTACTGAGGCCCCTTGGTTAGTGACCCTAACACAACAGCTCTCTTATGCGTGTGGGAAACCACATCTATCCCTTGGCCTCCTTTTTTTGTTCCTGTCATATGGATAAGGAAGTCCCCATTGTCACACTGCTTCCTCATCTTACCTTAGGAAAAAAGAGAGCCCAATCCTATACTATACAAAGAAGTTCTTTCTTTAAAGTAAGTTCTTTGTTTTTCTGGAAAATATGGATAGACATCAAGATTAAAAGCTGTGTAGATAAATAAGTATTGTTCCTTTATTTCCTAAATGTCTGCCTTGCCTCTTCACAGTTGATGCAACAGTTATATAATGAATGTACACTCGTACATGCCGACCTCAGTGAATATAACATGTTGTGGCATGCTGGGAAGGTAAGGAGTACATTTTGTTTATGTTCCAATTACATAACTTGATTAAAGTCGAACATAAAAAGATCACAGTGTGCTCCACATTTAAACAGGTCTGGTTGATCGATGTCAGTCAGTCTGTAGAACCAACCCATCCTCATGGCCTGGAGTTCCTGTTCCGTGACTGTAGGAATGTCTCACAGGTAGGTGTATAAAGGTTTTTTTTTTAATGGAATATAACAGGTTGAAATAATTTTTTTCACTTCTAAGGTAAGTTAGATTACCATATTCTTAGAAATTGAAGGAAGCATTTCACTACTGGCTATTTTCAAGATAAAAATGCAAAATCAACTTGTGAGACTTCACTGACAGTTAGAATTTGATTTGCCTACCTTGTATTTGGTCTGTTGAATTAAATTTCCAATTGGATTTGTTTTTATTCTGGCTCCAGATTTTTAAGTGTTCAAGTAGACATTTAGCACAAGTCCAGATATTAGAGAGAAGCTGGCCTGTGTTAGTTCTGTGTGTTTACTGACATTGTTGTCTGCTAAACAGGGAATAGTCTTATGGTCTGAGTGCTGTTTCTGTGAGGCAAAGTAAAAAAAGAGATTAGGGAGAGTAAAGCTCAGTAATCACCGAGCTGAGTCACATTTGTTTGCTACCACAGAAAGAAATTAATTGTTAGCAACTGATAGGAATTATCTTAATAAATACTATAACAAATTCATATTGGACATAACATTGAGCCTGCTAAAAATTTTAATTCTTAGGATTTAGCAGAATGTTTCAGTTAACACATTCAGAACAATTCCAAGCAACTTTATATGCCACTAATATTTATAGCTTTGGAAAGTGCAGTGTGGGCCAAATTCAGAACAAAGCACTGATGTATGAGAGAGGACAAAAAGCAAGTCGAGTCTGAGCAGAACTAAAGTTTAATTCTGAAGTGAGTTTTAAAATTATGGAAGTAGTTCCAATATGTTTTTTAATGTCTAGTAGAACCTTGTTGATCTATTATTTTCTCTTAGAACCTTACTGATCTTTTATGTTTCTTTACTAGTTTTTCCAGAAAGGAGGAGTGAAGGAAGCCCTCAATGAACGAGAACTCTTTAATGCTGTTTCAGGCTTAAATATCTCAGCCGATAATGAAGCTGATTTCTTAGCTGAGGTAAGTAGTTTTGTCCATCTTTCCTCCTGCTGGCAATAGACAGCTGGCTAAAGTAGATAACCCCTTGAAAACAAAGTTAGAGAGTTTACTTTTCGTGAGATGTTTTGTTCTTCTCAGGCTTAAATCCTAAAATAAAGATACAGCAAAATACCAAGTAATTCAGTTAAGATGGATAAAATCACACATTTGCAGTATACTTCTATTTCCCCTACTTTATAAATGAGGAAGTTGACTGGTAAACATTCTGAGTGATACAAAAAGCATGGACCCTGATACCCTAAACGTGGAAATTAGAAGTAACCTTACTTAGAAAGACCCACTGATCATATTATGGATCTTGAGAACCATTTAAAAAATCTCCTGCTAGGAAAGATCTCATAAAATTGAATAACAATGAAAACGTGAAAGAGCAGCTAATTATCTGGAAGCAGAGAATGATTATAGGGCCTGTTCCAGAACTCCCCAGTATGACTTGAATTTGGCCTAGATGTGGTAGGCCCTGCAGACAGAAAAGTCATGGGAACATGCTAAATCCTGTCTCTGACTCATTGCAATTGTTCATTAAGCAGCTGTTATTTAATCAGGCTTGGAACTTCCTTTTTCCTATTTCCTGAAAACTTTATAGTGTCCACAGTAAAACATATCTGATTCCAGCTGCTAGCTTCATAAAAACACTAAAAACTGGCCCAGGTAATATAGTCAAGTAAAAAACTTACACATGTGTGTGAATGAACATATGTGTATATATGCTTTAATTTAATTCAAGGCTAACATTGTTAAAAATGACCTAATTTTAAGAGATTAAAAATACAGACCCAATTTAAAGTATGGTTTCAATGAAATGAATTTTGACCAATGAGTTCAACTGATTAATTTTATAGATAGAAGCTTTGGAGAAAATGAATGAAGATCATGTGCAGAAGAATGGAAGGAAAGCTGCTTCATTTTTGAAAGATGATGGAGGGCCGCCAGTCTTATCTGATGAATAACAGCAGTAGCCATTGCTTTCTCTTAATGTTAACACAGCGGTGATTGTCATCTGCCAATGACAAATGAAGCTATGGGTGACTTGAAATACCAAAAGCCTGAGGAGTGTACAATGGTGCTTCTGTGCTTTTTCCCCCTTGTAACCCATGTGCCAGATGTGTGGAATTTTTAGCTCGGTATTGCGAGAATAAAATGTCACTACCTCTCCTCTTATGAACAGGATAATATAATTCTTTAACAGCTTCAGGTGACCTAGCTGAAATAGACCTGATTTTACAGGATTCATGGTGTGAAAAAATTTTAAATTCAGATAACATTTCCAGATATGGGAGGAAAAGGACAGATGTGTTTAATTTGTAAGAGAGGTTTTTATTACATTTTATTAACTGCAACATTACCTAAAATCAACCCTTCTCAATTCATTTTTCCAGTTTGTAACCATGATTCTAAAGGAAAATTTATTCTTTTAGTAGGTATTATAAGCAAACAGAAATGTGTCTTCAGAATGGCTGATAGATATAAGCAAAGTACATTTTATTGGTACATAATGAATATCAACTATATTTTACTCTTTCACACTGATATCCAAGAAAAGACATCATGGGTTTCTCAAAGAGATTATAAGAACTCAAAGTGATTATAAGAATTTAACTTTTCAGTTTTTTTAAATTTCACTCTTCAGCGTTTTCACATTTAATGAAAGTGGTTAGGATTGTGGTTCATAGTGCAGCTGTTCAGCATTTATGATGAGAATAGAAATTACCTGGAACCATTTAAGAAATATGGAAGGGCAGATTACAAAATTTAACCAAGTTTGGCATGTTTTAGTGAAGTCATTTTAAACCATACAGTTATTGATTGATTTTGAGAGAAATGTAGCAAGTGACTTAAAGCTAAAAAGTAATCAGATGATGAGAAGTATGTATAAAACAACCAAATGCCAAATTAACCAACTAACTTGAACTATCTGGGTATTATTACTTTTGCTGATTTTTAATACTGGCAGCCACTTTTTAAAGAAAACATGGCTGGGAAATCACATTGACTTTGTTAGGGTTGAAGTTCATTATGGACTACAACAGTCTGTCGTTCTCTTACTGAAGTCAGATTGGAACCATGAAAGACTCAGATTTCTGTCTGGTAATAGAAAGTAAAATCTAAATGTCATTTACACTTAAAGACTTCTTTAACATTATTTTAAAATGCCAAATACTTTATTTCTAAAATTTATTTATTTTCACTTCTGTTGTATAACTTCTAACTGCATTTCAGGGAAGTGTGATTTGGATCATTAATCAATCATTACATTTCTGAAATGTTTACTATTCTGAAACAAAGATTTAGATGACAGGAATTTCAGAGAACTAATTTTAAAAACCATTAACTATTTAAAACTTTTTTGTTTTGTTTTCTGACATACTCTGTTTGACAAAGAACAGCAAACCATTGCTGTCTGGCATTCTTAGAGTGTGCTGTGAACATGCTTTTTAAGAGATTAAAAATGAAGAGATCATTTTAGAACTGTTTTTGTGTGGTTTCTTATTAACATATGTTACTCTAAGTTACCTCTTCTGTCTAAAATTAAGCAGTTCTATTTTTTCTTTTTTAAGATTTTATTTATGCATACAGAACTGGGGTACAGGCCAGAGGTGCAGGGGTGGCGAGAGGCTTCACCAGAGACAGAGTGGGGAGCAGAACAGGCAGATCAACGAAGTACACTGCTGAAGGGAGCAGCGGGTGGGTCAGAAGAGGTCTGCCATGCCATGTGGTCACCTTCCCGGCAGGCGGGGCAGGCGGCAGGCGGGGCAGGCGGGGCAGGTGGGATCAAACTCATGTGGGGATGGAACTCATGCGGAAGTGGCTTAAGCTTCTTAGTGCAGTGCTTTAACCCCCTATGCCACCAGGGAGGGCCCTAAGTAGTTCTATTTTAAATGGTTTTTTTCCTTTCAACTTTTTTGTAGTTAGACTTCACTTTTAAATGACCTAACTATATGTTACAATTAAGTTTTTTTCCCTCTTCTGGGTCAGACAGTAAATTTGTCTTTTTCAGTGGAAATGTTGATTTGCTAAATAAGGAATCAAATGCAAGTGGAAAAAAAAACTATGGTAATATGAATATTTTGCCTCACTTTAAATACCAAAATAAGGATGTAGGGAATTTTTATTTCAATAAGATAATTCCTCTTTACTTTCCTCTTTATAAAGTCAGTTTTTCTTGCTAAACTAAGATATGTGTGCTCATTTGAATTTAAATAATGAAAATCAGAAATGTTAAAAGATGGTTAAGGTCTAAAAACACTGTGTATCATATAGCACAGCTATTTTTTCCCCTTAAATTGTTTATATTCTCTTTTAGAAAAATCTTTCAACAGAAAACAGAATGAAGTGAGGCAGCCTGAAGTGTTGATTACGGTAGACACCTAAAAATGTAGGAGATGGAGAACCTAAGATTTGTTAGAGGCAGTGTATTTATTGCTGCTGATTTAGGGTATAGGTATCAGAAGAGAGTGTTGTCTGCACCATTTGAAATTCCAGCACTTTGGAAATTATTAGACAGGAAAAGCTCATCTGATCGTATTTTCAGATGTCAATACTTAAGTCTTTGAAGGTATGTGTGTCTTCAAATAAATCTACATGTATGTTGGAGTTCTCTAGGGATTACAAAAAATTAATGATTTAACTTTTCAAAGTTTATACCTGGAGAAAACAGTTTATGCACTTGAAAACTTTGTTTTTATCGTTTCATTTGAAAATTTGCTTCCCAATTATCTAAATAGTATAGCAATAGTGCTACTTGCGGCCTTGAGTACTACGTTTGCTACCCTAGCAGTCCCAGCATTTCCTCAAACATATCTAGCTTTTTGAGAAAGTAAGATAAAATATAGTAGAAAGATGAGAAGATAACAGAAGGAAGGGAGAAAGTGGGATATTCCCTACAGAATAAATGAGCTACTACTTAACAGCTCTTTTTTTTCCTTCAATGTCTTCTGGGACAGAAATAACACATAATCAAAATACTTGACACAAAACCCAAAGAACAGTATCTGGGTAAGTACCAAATACAAGTGCAAGAATTATGAAAAATGTCAAGGTTTAAAATTTTTGAACAAAAGACTGAAGTTCATGCTTGAAGAGTTAGTAAATTGTTATTAAGTAACATAAACTTCATCTTTTTGCAGTTTTACCATATTTGGAAAATGGTAAAACAGACATGAGACTGCTGAATTGAAGCCTGCTTCGCCAAAGGGGGCATCCCTAAATTCATATTTGTCTTACCCCAAATGTAAGACTATTTAGATGTGGGACCCTACGTGAGATCTGTGCAATACAGAAAAGACAAAGAATATAGTTTCTAAATTTAACACACAAAGATACCCATCCCCTTGTGGGTAAAAATCACCCCAAACAGGACTGACCTAATGCAAGGCCTGAAAGCCTGCCCCGAGTCCAGAGCATTTTCTGGAGGGGACCCATAGAAAAGGTTCAGAAACAGAGGAGTCTGGGAGGCAAATAACAAAATCAAGATAAAAGCTGCCATTGTTAGCCACCCATGGGCCTCATTCATGTTTCAACCAGTCCAAGGCCAAAAAGCAAGTGTAGCTTCTCCACATCTCTCTGCCCCACAGCTCTGCTCCACATGCTGCCTCCAGGTCTCCTCATTCTCCATTCTGCTTTCTTCTCCCCCAGTCTCCTCTCCAGCTTTTTTTCCTCTCTACTCAGCTCTGCCCTCCCTTGGGGCAGGAAACCTGGAACCTCCCATTTTCCTAGGGAACACCCTCTTACAGGAGTTTTAATTCTTTATTAAACTATCATTAGAATTCATGCTGTCGTTTGAGCACTGTCCTATAAGCTTACACAGGTCAATTCTGTTTAACCTAGCAGGGGAATAACCAAGGACGTGAATTCCAATACCAGGAGATGGAAATCACTGGGGTTCATCTTGGAGATTAGCTACCACATATTTTGAAATTGTACAACTATTATCCCAAACTAACTTTTCCATAGAATTTATTGCTATCTGATATGTTCCTCATTTCTGATTTTTCCCACTAAACAATGAACTTCATGAGAGCAGACAATTTCATTTGCTTTATTCATTGCTATTCCCCAAGCACTGCAATGGTGCCTGATGCATTTGAGGACAAGTTCAAAATATACCTTGAATAGACGAATGATTTATTACAGTTATATGGGAGCATCAAGTTAGAAGTTAAATGGAATCTGGTTCAGTTTTTAAAAAGTAAACTTACATAGCAATGACTACAACCTTGTGAATATTACTAAAAATTATTAAATTGTATATAAAATGGGTGAATTGTGTGGCATGTCAATTTTATCTCTATACAACTTTTTTTTAAGTCTTTACTCTTTAAGAAGAAATAGATTCTTTGGCAGGACATAGACTCTTTACTACCTTAGTTGTTAATAGAGGGGATGGATGAACTCAGGGTCTGTTTGTTTCAGAGGCA